ATATATATATATATTTATCGAATAAATCAATTTGACATGTTTAATTTTATTATTGTCAATTTGGTTGACAGTGGTCTATTATAAGTTTCTGAAATCCTCAATTCAGATCAATGCTGTTTCCATTAGAAAATAAAGACTTTGTGGATTGAAGCAGTTAAATACATTTTCATCGATACACACATTAGGTGCTTCGATAGAAATAACAAAATGAATTTATATTATTAAAGGATATATTATTAAAGGAAATTTATAGATCATTCCCAAGCAGAACAACAAGTCACAATAATGTCAAAATAACATTAAAATGAATCGGAAATGATTGAAAAATGACTTTTAATAATCATTTTGGAATTATTTTGACATCATTTTGAAATTATAATGACTTATTGTTTTGCTTGGGTATTTACTTCTTTTATGTATTAATGATTAAGTTCACAAATGTATTAAAGTAGTGTTTTGCGAGTTTTATTTAAAAGATCTCACGTAGATCTTTTTGATTAAAAGTATCTTTTAAGGATGATAGTTCTATCAAAGTAATAACTTGCATAAAATAAAATTAAATGGCTCGATATAAAAAGAAATGTGTATTACGAAACACGCGGTATAACACGCACGACCGATGGACTTGGCATGCGCACTCCGTCGTGGTTGGTTGGCAGGTTTTCAGCAACGTGCAGCGCACGTTGGCAGTTGGCATTTGGCACGAAGGAGTTGAGAGTGTCCGGTCGTTTCGGGTTTCTGGAATTTGCCTGCGACTCTACGCCGCCAACGACGATGAACAACGAACTCACGATCGACAAGGTGAGTAAGTCGATCGCCTCCCATCAATGACGAGGTCTGTTTTTTGGGCGACGTATATTGCGAAACATGTTCTTCATTTACAGTTTCCCGCTTTGAGATCGAAACATGTTTACATCAGGGACAAGGTCGCGGTCCTGGAAACAATAAATGCGATTCGGCAAGGTGGCGTAAATAATCTGCAGGTACGGACTCTTATTTCCATTTAGTTCTCGTAAGGATTAGGCTTTTGATTCAGCATTTGATTTATATCTACAATTATTTGTGCAGATAGTCACGGATTTCGACTTAACCCTTACAAAGCAGCATATAGACGGCAGACATGTACTCAGTAGCTTTGGTAAGTAAATAGTTTAATTTATTGTCTTAAGAAAGTAGAGAAAGTTGATCTCTTATCATAAATTATTTATAAACTTGTTATTCATAATTTTCCTTAAGTTTGCAAGTTATCTAGAATTAAAATTTAATTGTTTAAATTTCTATAAATAAACATGTTTATTATGATCAATTAATTTCTAATTTCTAACTACACGATAACTTAACAATGAAATTTAATCTTAGGTATGTTCCGACATTGCAAGCAATTACCGCAACAATATTTGGACAAAGCTAAGGATTTATACAACAAATATAGACCTATAGAGATAGACCCAGAAATGCCTATGAATAAAAAGGCAGATGCTATGCGCGATTGGATGATGGCTGCACAAAATTTATTAAAAGGCATCGAATTTGATCCTCATGAATTAGAAGAAGTAGCCCAAGCATTCGACAACATATTGCGTGATGGTACAGAAGAATTTTTTGAAAAGCTATATAATGTAAAAGTACCAATTATTATATTTAGCGCTGGTTTGGGAGACATAGTGGAAGCTGTGTTGAGGTATCACAATGCTCTCTTCGATAATGTAAAAATATTCTCTAACTTTCTCAAGTATAATGGAAGTCAATTGGATGGATTTAAGAACGACATGCCTATACATGTATACAACAAGAATGAATGTGCATTGGAAAAGAATTATTTGAAGATATTTCAAAAGAGACAGAATGTATTGCTAATGGGCGACACGATCGGTGATGCTAACATGGTAGAAGGAATAGAGGATGCTAAGGTCGTCCTAAAAATCGGCTTCCTTTACGAGCACGTTAGTATTTCGAGATTAGTAGACTGTAAAATATTGATATAGAGACTAATTGCTTTTGTTCTCCAGGTGGAGGCTAGCTTAAATTCATTCATGGAAAACTTCGATATCGTTCTCGTCGATGATCAAACGATGCAAGTGCCGATAGAGATTATACAAAATATCTTGTAATATTGTCTGTACCAATACTCTCTTTCACCTGCGTGAACATATACACGTCTATAAAGATGTAAACATCACGCATACGTGATCGCTTTGTAATTTAAAATAGAGAAAACAATTTCATAAATTAATATATCTTAAAATTACATTTACTAACATATTTTTAATAATAATGGATTTATGTAACGCGTATAAGTTATAAATTACGCTCATCTCATTGGTAAAAGATATATTTTGAAGTTGTGTGTTTTAAATAAATTAATTTTTAATTTAAAGCTGAAAAGTTGAGAAATGTACTATTTATAAAAATTTTATAAATACGTTATCTACGTATGTGTGAATGTTATAACGTCTCTAATTATAATGTTTATCATGTAATATCTATTGAAGTTACAATTCGTGAAAATTCATTATGTTGCTCATTTGCTACAACAATGACATAAATAAAATAATTGTCATTTGCAGAAAAAGAACAGAAACTTAAAAAAAGAAAATATTTTGAAAGAATATATTTTTCCTATACAAACAATGAATGTATTTAAAAAATTGACATTATAAAATTTTAATGACTCAAAACATTGAAATTAATTTTCTAAAAAAATGTTCTTTTTTTAGTATTAGCAAATGAGTGATGTGTTCTCCAGTAATCGACGTCTAAATAAATCTTGTATTTTTATGAAGTATATACAATATTTATTACTAATATTTTAAAATAACTTTATTATAATTATGTGTCAGAAAAAAGAATGAATTCTAAACAATAAGAGCAGTAATATCTTTATAAAATTACTTTAATGTTTAACTAGACTCAGTGTTAAACAATTAGAATAGAAGATAATCTAAGATGTTAAAAATTAAATGTTTATAAAAACCTTAAATAATTATAAGAAAG